AGAGAGAGAGAGAGAGAGAGAGAGAGAGAGAGAGAAAAGATTGGAGGTATTACAAGAGAGTAACAAACACAAAAAAGAAGGAAAGATATAGACGATAGATGTTCGATAGGATACAATGAAAAAACCACATCAGAGCACCCATCAACCACCCACTTGGGAAATCAGGACAATAAATTAGCCCTTGACAACAACACCAAAGTCAATGGTGCACAAACTGCAATCAAGACTATTTACCTTGGCTTAGAGCGACAGATGGTGCATAGAGGACAGCTGCCATGTAAATGACCTGCAAAATAAGAGGCAGAAAAGAAAAGATTTAAAGCAATGTTTTTATCAATATGATGTCAACTGAACGTATAATTTTGGGGAAATGAGTAAGAAGAGGGGTGTATATGTGATTAAAAAAAGGAAGAACAGGAGGAGGAGGGGAATAATTAGAGGGCCAGTGAAGTATTGGTATGATTGTCCTATCAACACAAAGCAGACATTTAAGAGAAAGTACATCTGAATAAGCTGTGCAAGATGTGTAGAGAGCCGTGAAAAACTGACCAAACAAACCCTAATTCAAGAACATACCATCCGGGATTGGTACCCAGTATATCTGCATCATAGCCCATTGCATAGATTCCAACTGAGCTAGCGATGAATGAGGAGGAGAAAGCCAAGGAAGACAAAGAGGAGGAGAATTTGCCACTGAAAATACGTCGGACGAAAAATTATTATTTTATTTGAACCGCCCACTGTTCTCTGCTACTAACAACGAGTAAGAGAAAATCCATCATGTGTTGCAAATTTTTTTAGATTAAATGCCCCTGCAAACAATGTAAGGAAATGTAAGAGGAGGGACCTCCACATTTAACATCCATGATTTCTGATAGGACTGAGTCAAATGGGAAAATGTGTGTACACTGTATAGTTATAGTGTCTCTCCCAAGGACACAACATCAGACGGTGCTGAGTCTCAAAAACCCTGAACCTGGAATCACATGACTATGAGTCAGAAAGCCTAACCACCCCTGCTGTGTGCAAACAGAATAGTTTCATTATCATACAGGAGTTTAGTTTTCACAGGATGAACAATAAACTGCCTTTTTAAACAAATGCAACACAAAAATGGCGAAAATTGAGACAGTAAAAAAATACAGAAACAATTAACCCATTCAAAACAAGGGGTACATGCTGTGGCTAGGTGAATCAAGCCTTGAGGTTAGCCATTCCAAAGGTGAGAGAGTAAATGAAAAAAGCAATAACAGCCCATATTTATACATTTCTCCAGTCCAGGCTTGCCACCCCCCCTTCCCCCCCGAAAAGGTTAAAAAAAGGGTGACCTTATTTAGGCCTCATATGGCCTAAATAAGCTAAACCCCCATGCCTTACCTTATATAGGCCAAATGTGGCCTATATAAGCTAGCCCCCCCCCCCCCCCCCCCCCACCTTTTTTAGGCCACAATATAGAAAAAAAAAACCTCTTCACATCCATCTTCCATCATCCAGCAGAACATGTGATGAGAGTGGAGTTGCATACCCTGATTGTGTGACAGCGGACTATTCATTGTATCCACCGCTGGGCTCATGGCGGGTAATTCAGATGAAACTTCAACACCATGAGAGACATAATGCAAAATGCACCGGGTGCTGATGGCAGTGGTAGGGCTTAAGGTAGAGGAGGAAGAGGAGGAGGAGAAGGGGGAAGAGGAGGAGAAGGGGAAGAGGGAGGGGAAGAAGAGGGAGAGGAGGAAGAAGTGGAGGAAGAGGAGGAGGGGAAGAAGATGCAGAAGCAGAGATGATGATGATGATGATTTTTTTTTGTTTCCTTAATGGGCCTGGCGGACTCCACAAAGAAATCTTCGAGCGAGAGCGAAGCTCTTTTTTGGCTCCATTGTCAATATGCTTAGCGGTACCTCCACTCGTCCAAATAACTTGATGATGATGATGATGATGATGATGATGATGATAATGATGACGAATAAAAATAATAATAATGTATACTTACAATGATGATAGAAAAGGAAAATGATCCAATAGTTCTGACAGCCTTGCTGAATCGAAGTTCAAGGTACTGGAAGAAAAGGTGAAATCATTTGGGGTTGAAAAAAAATATTTAAAATAAAACTGGGTTATTCAATGTCATGCAACAAATTATTGAAAAATGAACAGAATAACATTGAGCTATCGTAATATTTCCTTTATCATTAATAGAAGTTGTGCTCTATTAGCAATAATTATAAAAATTATAGAACCAACAATAACAACAACAACAACAAAAATAAAATAAATAACATTAATCATTTCAATAGTGTACACTCATCATGTACAATTAAGTTCTAGGCACTTAACAATACAGTCATCTTGACAGAATGTTGTATACTATGCATATATAATGTGCACGTTTTCTCTCGCACACAAACACACACAAACACGTGCGTGCACACACACACACACACATACACACAAACACACACACACACATAAACATATTCATACATACACACTCATGCACACACACACACACACACACACACACACACACACACACATACATACACACACACACACACACACTTAAACACACTCATACACACACACACATACACACACACATACACATAAATGCACACACCAGCATAAGCTCGCATACCGACCCCATACTAACAAAAGGAAATAAATCAATTTTTTTAAAACCAAAAGCAAACCAAAAAATGACAAGATGTCATAAAGAAGCAGAAACAACAACAACAACAACAACAACAACAACAACATTAACCAAAAATCAACATCAACAACAAACAACAACAAAGACAAAAATAACAACCAAAAAAAAACCAACAACAAGAGAACAACAACACGTGTAGGCCTACATCATCAAAAAGAGACGGATAATGACAATGACTTCACAGCAAACAAATCGAGGAGACGGATAATGACAATGAACTCACAGGAAACAAATCGAGGAGACGGATAATGACAATGACAGCACAGCAAACAAATCGAGGAGACAGATAATGACAATGACTTCACAGCAAACAAATCGAGGAGACGGATAATGACAATGAACTCACAGCAAACAAATCGAGGAGACGGATAATGACAATGAACTCACAGCAAACAAATCGAGGAGACGGATAATGACAATGAACTCACAGGAAACAAATCGAGGAGACGGATAATGACAATGACAGCACAGCAAACAAATCGAGGAGACAGATAATGACAATGACTTCACAGCAAACAAATCGAGGAGACGGATAATGACAATGAACTCACAGCAAACAAATCGAGGAGACAGATAATGACAATGAACTCACAGCAAACGAGCAATGACTTCACAGCAAACAAACTCCTCCATCACTCACCTCATAGGCGTTGGTCAGCTGCAGCTTATAGATGATGGGAACGATGAAGAAGCCGACGATAAGGAAGCAGGGGATCATGCCCAGCGCCCAGAGCCACTGCTCGCCACCTCGAGTGTACACTTCGGCCGGGATTCCCAGGATGGTGGTCGCAGATGTGAAGCTGGCGCTCAGGGACAGAGCCACGGGGATCAGTGGCAGCTTGCGGTTTCCTGGACATAGTGAGTTTGTTCGTTTTATATTCTTTTAGTATGAGTTTTAAGGCACTTGCAATACAAATAGGTCAAGAGAGATTAATTTTAGTAAGAGTTTTACAGGCACTTGGAACCCAATTAGGAAAAATAACTGCGTGTAACAAACACAAAGAAGATGGAGAGATAAGGATCATTGATGTTTGATAGGAGAGAAGGAGCAAACCAAACCAGAGCACCCACCGACCACCCACGTCAAGAGAGTAATACCACGCAATCAATTCTTATTACCTGTTGTCTTAGGGACGTACGCTTTAGAGCTGAGTATATGCAAAAGACAACACCTGCAAAAAAAACCCACAATAACAACAGCTGCAACAATTACAACAATATTCCTTAGTATTATCATCAACATCATCATCATCATCATCATCAGCAGCAGCAGCAGCATTGTTGCAAGCACAATAAGAAAAAAAATATTGGTGGTGACTTGAATCATCATCATCTTTCGTATCATCAACAACAACAACAACAACAACAGAACACCAAACAATAAAAAAAAACATGATGAGAAAAGAGACGAGCTTCAGGTTTTGTTTATTAAATTTCCGAGCCCTTGAGTTAATTCCTGTGTAATCATCCAGAATCCATTGGGTTAAAACAACCAACTCTTTACCTGTAAGCAGTTCATCGGCGCTGGCTTGTTTCTTCGTTTTCGCTCGGATACCAAAGAACAGACCGATGCAGGATGACAGAAACAACATACAGCTGAAAACAACGTAATCCTCCCATGAGAAGGTCCTTGCTGCTGAGGCCATGATCTGAAAGGGAAAGATTTATACGATAAATCGTTCGCAGCATAAAAAAGGTGAAAGGAGCCTACGGCAGCAAAATGACCATCAAAGTCTTTTTATTTATTTTTTTCGGACTCGTGGGACACATTAAAACTTTTTCAGTTCGTAGGAATTTTTTTATTTTAACCGGGTGGCGGTCGAAGCCTACTCTTATCGATTTTTAGAAAACCAAGGGATCTAAAAGCAAACACCTTAACCTCTAGGCAACGAGAGTCCCCTTTATCAAAGTCAATAATCTCCGGTATCATCAATTAATATTCTCTTCCTCTTCCGCTTTGTAATTATATGCTCCAATTATTATCAAATTCAAATTCACCACTACCACTACCACCCCCATTATCACCATCATCATCATCATCATCATCATCATCATCATCATCATCATCATCATCATCATTAACAACAACCTTCCATGACCACATTATGACGGCATTCCTTTGATCACAATTGTAGTTATCAATAACTGCATGATCTAAGTGAGCACCAAGCTTAAGAAATGATCAGAGAAATGACAAGGTGGACTGAAACAGCGTCTGCGTGAGGGCTGTTGGCGGGTGCTCTGGTGTGGCTTACTTGCTCTTTCTTTCCTGTCAAACATCCATTTCATTATCTCTGCTCCTCCTTCTTTGTGTATGTTACTCTTTAGTAGTATCTCTAGACTCGGGCACTTATATAAATAATTTTATAATATATAACCTACTTGTGTTGCTAGTGCCGAAAAACTCTAATCTTTAAAAAGTCCACTCCACTCTCTAGTCTCTAAATTATTCAGTTTGCATAACGAGGACATAGCCCAGATACTGTCATTGCTTCCATTTTTTTTTAAAGGAAGATTGACAGGCAAAAACATGAGAAAGAAAAGACGCATGACCTTCCAAGATGTATACGTACCCCATATCCAGAACAAAGGTGACATAACAAAAAAGAGCCATTATTCTTTTAAAAAGGTAAAGTTTCAAGGAGTCCTCATAAGCCCCATTATCAAAGGTAAAGTTTCATGGAATACTTAAAGGCCATAGCAAACCAGGTAAAGTTTCAAGGAATGCCTTCTAAAAGGAATTCTGTGTGAACACACGTTTGCAAAATAACAATGTCCAAAAAATCAACCCAAACCCATGCGTATGTAAATGATATCACGAAGCCCGGCCCGATGCCAAGGCTGTTGTCAGAACAGCAGGAATTCGTAATAGTTATACACTTTTTTTAAAAGTGTTTTACTGCGCTCGCAACTGCATAAGACCAAATAAGCGCGTGGGACACACCAAACATTTTCAGTCGGTAGGAAATTTTGAATTTTGCCCGGGTGGCGGCCGAAGCATACTCTTATCGATTTTTCGACAACCAAGGGATCTTTAACGAGCGCAACTTGCACAAAGGACCTCCAAGATTTTTCGCCTTTGTCCCAGAAGGCTAGGTGTAGATCGTTCCAACCATGATATCAGAGGTGTGGCTGAAAGACAGCAGTAAGAAAGAGCCAAGGAGTAGCAGTAGAAAGGCTGCAGAAAGAGTCAGACGCCCAGAGGAGGGGCAAAGGGAGTGAGGGGGTGAGGGGATTGGGGCAGAAAGTGGAGACGAAAGCAGACGACAGAATATTGCTTCAGAGCAGGAAAAGAGGCGAAAGGGGAAAATTTTAGAGAAGATAATTTTCCGTCGGTATCCGGATTCGAACCCCGCCGAGACCTATTGATACAGAGGCGAACACCCTAACCTCTAGGCCACGAGAGCCCCCATACAAATTTTGCTCTGGTCTGAAGACTCAAATAAGAGGAGGGGCAGGTAAACAAAATAATTAAGGTAGGTACCATGTTTGTGCGTGT